GGGCGGGGGGTGGGTGGAAGCCTTGGTTTCCCCCGCCAGCGCTGCTCCTGCTGTCTCCTGCAGGGGGCAGCACTACTCTGTACAACTGCTCCACCTGTGAGGGCACCAAGGCGTCCTGTTGGCCCCGAAAACGCTGCCTCCCAGGTGCTTATGCCCCACCCCGGCCCCGTTCCTCCCAGATCCCTGAGCCTTTCGCTCCGCACCTTCCCGTGCGTGGTCCCCAGGCTCATCCACAGCCTTCTGAGGTCCCTGCAGGAAGTCACGATCTGTGGGAAGCCAGGATTCTGCTTTTGTCTGTCTTCGGAGCTGTCCTGCTTCTGGGTGCTCTGAGCCTCCTGGTGGAGTGAGTTGCGGGATGGAGGGCAGGAAATGGCCTTTCCGCCTCCTGCCCTACCCATTATATTCCAATGCCACTTTCTGCCCTTTCTCCCAGCCAGCCTCCTTGACTTTAGCTAGCCTCCCATCCTCTCTTTCCTCAGAAACCATCACCTCCAGGCAGAAGGTGACTTGTGAAGATGCTGACAACTTCCCCTCCTCCAGTTCTAAGGAGTGTGTACCCACAATTTCCACATCCTTTGGGGGACTCAGCCATTCCTTAATCCCATTTCCAAAGACCCAATCTTCCAGACCCTACAACCTAGATGTTCCAAGACCAATTCCAGCATCAGATGGCCTCCAGAAATCCAGGCACCCACATCTGGAAAGTTTCTGCCCCACTGGCCCTCGACCAATCTGACAGGGCAGTGGGCCATGCCAGGAAATTATCTACAGAAGGAAAGAATCCCCTGCACGCACCTCCCCCATCCCACACCCCCTCTGCCCATTCCCGGAAAGCAGGGCCTGTCTACCCCAGAACTGCCTCTGGGCCTTCCCATGACTGATTGGGAATCCGGGAATAAGAGTTCTGGAAAACTCCCTCCTTCTAGGGTGAGACCACATCAGTCAGCCCACTGGCACGCTGTCTGTCCATTGTATTAACACTGTGCAGCCCTGGCCTCCTACAGAGGCCTCCCTCCTGCAGGGCCCGAGTAAAACTGCTGTTCAATGCCTCCAATTCTGCTTGGCCTCTGCACTGGGGAGGGCAGAGGAGGGACTGGAGGCTCTCGGTGTGGGGCAAGGATTTGAACTGGGGGTGATTTAGCACCCTGGTAGACATTTAGCAATATCTGGAAACATTTTGTATTGTTTTGATTGGGAGACTGTACTAGTGAGTAGTGAGTAGAGAAAATGGGGTGCTGTTGACATTCTATAGTGCACAGGAAGTCCTCACAACAGAAAATTAACCTGCCCAAACCAGGTGTGGTGGTGTATACCTGTAATCCCAACATTTGGGAGGCTGAGGCAGGAGGATTACCATGAATTCAAGGCCAGTCTAGGTTACATATGAGTTCAAGGCCAACTCGAACTATATAGCAAGACCCTGTCTCAAAAAGAAAAATAATTAACCTGCCCAAATGTCAACAGTTCATAGTCAGAAACCCTGGTGTTGGTCCTCTGTACATCGAGAGTTTTTGGTTTGCGGGATTGGAGATGGAACATGAAAAAAAGGTTTGTCCTCAACCACAAGTCTCAGTTCAGGCACCTGGCCCTCACCTAGCCTAGAATTCTTAAAACTAGCTACCTGGAAGGGCCAGGGATTTAGCTCAGCGGTTCAGTGGTCTGCCTTGCAAGCGCAAGGACCCAAGTTCAATCCCCAGTACCAAAACAAAACAAAACTAGCTACCTGGAGGCTCCCAAACAAGTGTTTTCAATCAGCTGCACATTGTAGTCTCCTAGGCAGCTTTAAAATTACTCATGCTTGGGCCCTACCTTCAGAATCAGTACTAAGTGGTCTTAGTTAATGTTGCCTGCAGCAGAACCACTATCTTTGGGGTGTGCATAAAGTCCTTGTGGATGGAGAAAGGACCTCTTACCCTTCCATTAGATGACCTCCCTTTCTGTTTTACACGTGCTGGCCCAATCCATTTTATGTATGAAATATGAGACCCAGATCACACAGGATCATACATTCATACTTATTCATTTAATCGACAAATAACAAGGCATAGTCACTGCCCAACACAAGATGAAAAGCTCACTTCCTGATTGCCCAGGCAGCACAGCTCCTCTGGACTGCAGGAGCTGCCTTGTGTCTTTCCATGATGTCCGCCTTCCGGGCTCAACATTTTGAAATTGTTCTGAGTTTCATACCCACATTCAGTTAGACTGACAGTCCCTGAAGGATCTCTGTCTGTCTGCTTCCCCTGCCCCTGGTCCCCAACCCATCCTGAACCCTTTTCAGTGGAATTCTGTCCCCCAGATGTACCACCTGACCCCGTGTGCTCCCTTTAAATACCTGTCCCCCTCAGCGGCCACACTGGTCCTCTGAAAACCACACAGCGCACAACCTCCTGCCTAGGATCATATAATGACTATGAATTTGGGCTTTGGAGTTGAGGTGTTTGGTTTCAGATCCCAGCTGTCTCTTACTGGACCTTGCACAACTTGTTTAATCTCTCAGAGCAAGTTTTCTTGTTTGTTTGTTTGTTTGTTTGTTGTGCTGGGGATCAAATTCAGATTTTTGTAGGCAAGCACTCTACCACTGAGCTACAGAGCCTCAGCTCCAGGGTAACTTCACCTCCCACCATGGCGCTGGAAGTGGAACCCAAGTTCTTGCACGTGTTAGGCAAGCACTGTACTGTATCACTGAGCTACGTTCCAACCTTTTGTTAATTTTTGTTTTGAGATAGGATTTTGCAGAGTTGCAAAATCGCCATCCTTCTGCCTCAGCCTCCAAATTAGCTGGGATTACCAAGCGTGTACCACTATGCCTAGCCTGTTATTTTATGTGCAGAAAATATATTTCTTTGATTCTATGGCCTTTTTTTACATTCTTTGTTTTCTTTTAGTTTTTTGCTTTGTTTTGGTTTTTGAAGTGTGTGTGTGTGTGTGTGTGTGTGTGTGTGTGTGCGTGTTGAGGCACAGTTTTACTACATAGTTCAGGCAGAACTTGAACTGACCTCCAACACATGGTGATCCTCCTGCCTCAGCCTCCTGAGTGCTGGGATTATAGGTGAGCACTGCCACTCCTGGTTTCTCTTGGGTTCTAAAATTTTTTTAATTAAAATTTTTATTTATTTATTTATTTCCCAGTACTGGGAATCAAACTCAGTACCTTGTGCTTGTAAGGCTGGCATAAGCACCACTGGGCTAAATCCCCAGCCCCTCTTTCTCTCTCCTTTTTTTTTTTTTTTGGTTCTTGTTATTGTTTTGCAGAGGGGGGTTTGTACCAGGGATCAAACTCAGGACCTTGCACGGGCGAGGCAGGTATGGCAGCACTGAGCTAAATCCCTGGCCTTCTCTTAGCTTTTGAGACAGGGTCTCATTATGTAGCTCAGGCTGGCCTTGAATTCATGGCAATCCTCCTGCCTCAGCCTCCCAAGAGCTGGGATTATGGGTGTGTGCCACCACACCTGGCTCTTCTTGCATTTTAATATCTCTAAAGTCCGAATGCATTTTAAATTGAAAGTATGACATAACTGGTGAGTATTTTTTTCTTTGCAATACACAGAATAATGGTATGTCCTACAAATGATATCCTAAATTGATGAAATGTAGTAGTATTTGCCTTACACAATTGTTATAAAGTCCAAATAAATTAATATAAAATGCTTGGGACTGGGCATGACATAAAATGGGAGTTCCTTAAGTATTAGCCATCATCTCTTGCTCAAAGACCTTCCCCACCTCCTCCTTGCCTACAGAATGTAGACCTGGTGTCTCTTTTTGTTTGTTTGTTTTTTGAGATAGGGTCTCACTATGTGGTTGAAACTGACCTGGAACTCACTGTGTAGCCCAGGCTAGTCTCGAACTCACAGCAATCCTCCTGCCTCAGCCTCCCGAGTGCTGGGATTACAGGGGTGCGCCACCTGGTGTCTCTTTACCCTAACACTCAATGCTCTCCATCAGCAGCTCGCATGTGACTTATCCATGCCTCAGTCTAGAGCTGAACAAACACAGATCTAACTGGAACTCCACTCAAATGCCCATGGGCATGTCAGACTCCGTGTGTCCAAACAGCCCTCCCTCCCTCACTGCTCTTGTGATCTTCTCAAGCCTCACGGCAGAGCCAACTGTATTATGCACATTCTCTTCCTTTCTCTTCCTAGGATGTCCACAAGCCCACTTCTCATCAGTGACCAAGTGTTCTACCTTTGTCATTTTTCTTGGAATCTGGTTCCCAGGTGTCCCTGGAACTTTCTCTCTTAGCACTGTTCACCTTGTCCCACTTCTACAGCCACACTGACTCACTTGAGTTGTTTCTCTTTGCCTTTGCCCAAACTTGTCCCTCCACCCAAGATGCCCTTTTGATTTGGCTCAGACATTATCTCTTCTGCGAAACAACTTCTGAGCCCCTGGAACAGAGTAGTGTCCCTTCTCCATGCAGGTCTCAGCAGGGGCGCCTGTCACATCAAAGTGGCAGTGTTTCTTTGCCACCCTCCCTCTAGGAAACCACTGCCCAGTAGTTTGGTGGCTTTGTTTCCACTGTGCCTGGTACATGTAGACACCAGGGAACATGGTCCTGGGGATGCATGTTGTCTTCAGCAGGTGGTCTTTGTAGTTTTTTTCCACTTTTTCTTTTGTGGTGCAGGGATCGAACCCAGGCCTTCATGCATACTGGGTGCTCTACCACTGGAATACACTCCCATTTTCTGTGTTTCTATCTGTGCACATAACATCAACCTACTGGAGAAGGGCGTGGTGGCACACACCTGTAATCCCTGCACTTGGGAGGCTGAGGCAGGAGAACTGCCATGAGTTGGAGGCCAGCCTGGGCTACATAGTGAATTCAAGGCCAACCTGAGCTACAGCGTGAGCCTCTGTCTCAAAAAAAAAAGAAAAAGAAAAAGAGACCCAGCTTCAGAAAGAGTCCCCATAGAAAGGTTCCAGGCAGAGGCCAGGGCCCACTCCCAGACACTTGCATGATGTTCCCCCCATAACTGTCAGTAATCCCCAGACCTTCAATTTCCAAATAAGGACCCAGATGTCTCAGAGCGGTGACAAACCATCCCCACTGTGCTATCGGAATTCCTGGCTCACAAACTCCAGGTATGGAATGAAATTGTTTTATGCCACTAAGTGTGATTCCCATAATGATAGGGAACAGGTACAGGGGTGGGGGACCTAGGACTTGCTGTGAAATGTCCAGAGTTCATGACATGACATGACAGCATCGTGACTTTCTAGCTGTGTATATCAGGGACATAACTTTACTAGCCTGAGTTTCAGTCCTTCTGACTGTAAAATAGAGTCAAGGATGGCTTACTTATATGGGGACAATGTATCAGACACCACTTGAAGCATTTTGTGTGCTGTATTATCCATAGCTAAAATCTTCTAAGAGCAATACCTTACAACAAGAAGCACTCTCTTGCAGTTTATCTGGAACAGAAATTCAAGAGCAAACTACAGTTACACAGGACTAAATTCTACCATTCTGCAGTCAGTGGGACTGGTGGTGGAGGCACACGCCTGTAATCCTAGCACTCGGGAGGCTGAGTCAGGAGGATCTCCATGAGATTGATGCCAGCCTGGACTACATAATGAGTTCAAGGCCAGCCTGGGCTACGTAGTGAGACCTTGTCTCACCCCCACACACACACACCAAAAAATAAATAAGTAAAAATAAAGTCAGTAGGGTGACCATAGTTCACAACAATTTGTTCTATATTTTACAAAGAACTAGAAAAAAGTGTTTAAAACTTCCCAACCCAAAATGTTTAAGGAGCTAAAAATGCTAATAACTCTGATTTGGTTATTATCCCATTATGTACATTTTGAATTATCACAAAATATATCCTGTTTGCAATATTCTGTCAATTACCTAGATGAACCCTATTGACTATGGAAAGGGACTATACAACAGAATGAATAATACTAGGACGGGACTCTCATTGGAAGCTGTTTTGGAGGCTGGCTACCACCCATGTAGAGACAGTTAATTCTCCAATAATCCCATCAGGTAGACGTCCTTGGAAGGTTTATCCCGAGGAGGAAGCAGAGGAATAG